TTTCGAAGATACGGAGCTAAATATGTAAAAAATGGCAGTTTTTGAGAGAACTAAGCGTCCGATTTAAATGATTCAAAAAACTTTCTGCTTGTCTTAACAAAATAATTGATTTTGGAAAAAAAAATTTATGTTCCATTTTTTTTTTTTTGTTTTTTTTAGTTTTTTGTTGAAACAAATAATTTCAACTTTGCAATTCAGTTTATATAATTCTTATAAATATTAGACAATGTTACAATATTTATAATAATCTATTTGAAAACATTCAGTATTCCTCGAACATTTCGTTACGGTACGGGAAGTTCCAGCAATTTGCCTTAAGGCACGATGCCACCCACCCCACTAGTTAAATTTTAAATTTATTTAACTAAACTCATCTAAATTTTTCATTATAATTGTATTAAATTTTTCAATTATTCATCTTGTTCACATAACCTTTTGATAAATGGACATAAGTTATGAAATTTTGTAAAATTTAATGCGAAAAATCAATCATGAACAATATTTCCTTAGTATGTAAATTACTCTATTTGTTTTTCAATTTTAAGAATTAAGAAAATGTATAACTTACATTTTTAGAAAATAATATATAATATGATATAATGATATAATATTTATACAAGAAAGTCAATATAAAAAGTTTTGAGTTCTGAAAACTGAGTCTCGTTTTATACAAAATAATGTAAATAAAACTCGATTTCATATTTCATTTCATATATATATATATATATATATATATATATATATATATATATCAAATAGTATTAAATATGTTCTTTGAGTTGGATTTATCGCAAAATGTGTAGGTGTATCAGCAATGGTTATAAAACTAATTGAATTTCTTTATGCATAGAAATCCCAGTAAACGTTTTCGTTATTTTTTCTTATTATATAAATCTTTACTCTGAATACTATATTCAGTAGTGTTATTTAATTAAATTTTCTTATCCAATTATGTAAGGTATTTTGTGCATTTCGATAAAAGCTTTTACAAAGGAAGCATTTTGTAGTGTAGCCTTATTCTGCATTTTTACTCTGAAAATACGATTAAGAATATTGTAAACGAAAGTTTTAATTATTAATGAATCATAATTTAATTATCATATTATTTTTCTATTAGTAAACTGATTTTTTTGAGCTGAATTTAATTGTGTGGATTTAGAATGTAATGATATATGTGAAATATCTAATAGCATATGCTCATTTTCTTACGAAAGATTTGGGCATGTAGGAGGCAAAAATGTATCTTTTTCTTTTATACAGATCCTACTATTTGTATGAAAATCAACTGTTAAATTTATATATATATATATATATATATATATGTGTGTGTGTGTGTGTATTTCAATATTATGTGTAGAACAGCAAATATATTGAAAAACTCAACAAAAGACGAAGCCGAGAATTCCAGAACAGAGAAAATTCATTTCGCATGTAAAATGAATCAACAAAAGTGAGGAGCTTTTCGAAAGTTTATTGTTATTAAATTCTTATCCTTGCTATAAAAATTACTAAAAATCGACTTATTTTTTTTTAATTTAGTAGCTGAATCTGTTTAATTAGTCTAAATATTTGGAGAAAGTACATACATACTTCGAGAAAATAATTGACAATGGACAAGTTAAAGATATAATTTTCACATTTTTTTCTCGTTTGCATTAGAGTTCTATTTTTTAATTTATTTATTAGTTTAAAATTGATTATATAATTATACCATAGATACATAAAATTAAATACATTTTCGTAATTACTATCTCGTTTTGATGCTTTTTACTATTTTATCATATATATTTAAATTTGGATTCTATTTGTTAATATGATATTGATAATATAAGAAAAAGGTTCATCAAATTGTCTGAGATTATACTATACAAAAAGAATAGTTTAATAAACTATTGACAATTGAGTAACAAAGTTTTATTGGATAACAAATATATCTGGTATAACAGTCCACAATGTCGCAAAAATATAAAAAACTATTTTGAGCGTCTAAAATGACTGCAAAAAGTTGAAGACAAAAATTTTACGTGATAACCTTAATATTATGAACCTTAAGAAATATAAGGTGTTTTTCTATACATTCACCGGAGCTCTTACTAAAACATATACCGTCGTAAATAGGCTCGCATTTATATCGGTTAAGTTTTTTGCCTCTTTTGCGTATATTTTTTATTGTCTTAGGGCCTAATGTGAGCACGTCTCTGCCATATTAGGATCATTCATCATTTTATTATTCATCACGGCATATCATATCGGACGTGTCGGAAAGTGGTATGTGTTGGCAAAAAACATATTATATATGAAAGAGATTACTACGTGACTGTTGACATTTTTGGGAATTTGATTGGAAGGGAATTTTACTAGACTTTTTGTTCTCAACCAAGCAGTAAAAAATATTTAAATAATTATAATTAAGGATATGAAGCTAGAGTTAGTACTTGGTGCATGATAAGGGTAGGAGTAAGCAGTAATTTTACTATTAATCTCAATAATTTGTGGTATTTCATATGTTGGAATTTGAAAGCATTTTGCTAGCGATACATTACGCCGATTTAGGAGTATTAGCAATTAATACTCCACAAACTAATTACAGAACTTTTCCAGCTTTGACCTACTATTTTGACCAAGTTGCAGATAGTCCCAACAATTTCTGCTATATTAATTATTGATAGAAAACTTTGTTCTCTGATTGCAAAGGTCAAATCATTATCGTTAGTAAGTGGTCATTAGCAGATTTTTATGATAACAGATATATAAATATGAAATATATGTCCGAATATACGAATTCGAAGCATATGTCAAAGGCTAAATCGTAAAAACAAGATCTGTTATTAGTAGTATAATTGTTTTCATTGCGTTTTTTTTGCATAGATTTATTGCCGATCAAAATAATATAATTTTTTAAGACAATATGCTGAGTGTAGATGTTCATTGTGCATGAAAAAAAAATGTTTATGAAATTATTGAAATATTATATTTAATTTATTATAAAAGTATATTCATCCCACAAACTCATACATTCGTAATGATAAATCCAACATTAGAACATGTTGTAAAAAATATAAAATAACATACATTTAATTATTTCAGGAATACTTATTAGTCTATTTTTGTTATTATAAATAAACAGTCAAATACAAAAAATGTATATAATATAGTATTAAAAATAATCGATAAATGGATTATTTTGTTGTAAATTCAAACAGTATTAGATATTGATTACTAGTTCTGATTAATATTATTGAAAATAATTATCATGATTGATATCCAATATTTGGTCAATAAATATAAAATTTCAATAGCAATGTTACTACTATAATAAGGTGATAATGAATATCTTATAAATAATGATAATAACATAAGTATGATTATGATTTGCGCTATGTTATAATATACACACTGCATTACTTTATATTATAAAAATTCATAATTTGAACTAGTAAAAATGGATTCACAGATAGAATACTTCAGAGAATTATCTTATAAAATATTTACGTTTAACTGTAAGTTTTAAAAATTTAAGTATTTGGCATTTATCTTTAACTTGTCAATTTTTTAAATAATCGAAGTAAATAAAATTCAAACAATATTGAATTAAAATTTTCGATAATCTTAACTAATTTAATTTAATTTTAAAACACTTATTTCTACGTGATAAATAAATTTCAAACTATTACTTTCATTGTTTGTACCGAGATTTAAAATGCAACGCAATAAATCTCAAATAAAGGTTCTGCTAGACTTTTATCACTCAAGAGACAAGAAAATAAAAAATACCTAACGAGAAAATCTCGAACACATTTAGCAATATTGCTTTTCTTGCGAGAAATCTTTAACACGGGTTCGAAGGATGTAGAAGGATTCATATTATCCTTTCTTCTATACCCTTTTATATCGCTTTTCTTAACATCTGACTTATTTCGTGTTTCGATCAAATAAAATACGTATTTGAATGGCATTTTTTGCCAATAATGGCCTATATATGAATATATTTACTCATATATGTGTATATATATTTGTTATGTATAGTATTATAAAGGTATGTAAATTGTGGATATAGAGAAATATTTTTGCTTTGATGTATTTCTATTGTTTTGTCTGAATATCAAAAAAAACTTTAAAGCGTCTGAGAGCATTGACCCGGTAAATTATTTCTACGTTGTTGTGATAAAATGATATATAGTTTTTAGCCTTTTTGTGCTTTTTTAACCTTTTATGCAATCAATTGATCAGCAAGTCATTGTAAAGAAATGGAATTGGTTTTTTTTTTATAGACATCCTTCGAATCAAATGAAAACAAACTTGAAACAGTTATATTATGAATAATATAGACTGATAGACAATAAGAGATATTTAAAAATATTAATTTAATACAATGCGTGTACAATGTTGAAAAACAATTAAAAAATGAAAATAAAGTTTATATCAATATTAGCATTATCAAATGGAAATACATCGATTCAATTATCCATTTCAAACTACAAAATTTAACTGTATTCAAAAAGATTTTGATTGTCATACGGCTTTATTTCTTTTCTGTAGATTATTTTTAGATTTATTTTATTTACGAATTAGTATAAATGCCGTGGGTTGATATCTGATTATTATCGATAAAGATACTCTAACAATTGACTTATAAATAGCGAGATTTGCATGGTAAACAAGCATAATAATTTTATAAAAATAAAAGGGGCAGGTTAAATCTGCTTTATTTAACATAAGTAAATTCAAGCTATTTATGAATGGGCTTAGTTATATACGATTGTATTGAAAATGATCAGAAAATTACAAATGTTAGCTATTTATCAAAGATTTCAGTACCATAATTAAACTAACTTGTTTTTATTTATATTTAAAAGTTTGGAATTGAAATGGTTAAAGTATAATAGTATTTTTGCAACCTGAGATTTCTTATTGCTCTAACTAGTCATTAACATTTTCACATTTTTTTATTATTATGTAGTTCTATTTATAAATATGTCTACAACCTTTTTTTATTTCAGGAAAACGAATGTCTGACTCTCGAGGCGAATATTCGTTGGGCCGAAGCTTTTATATTAATGTACAGTGTGACAGACAAATGTTCCTTCGATGAATGTAATCGACTGAAATTTTTGATAAACTACAACAAACGGCGTAGGCGACTTGTATCTTCGAATTCCAATAAAGTAAGTATAAATAACATTTTTATAAACTTATATAAATCAGACAAATAGAATGAAAAAGAATGATAGAAAACATACTAAAGATCTACTTATATTTCTGACAACTTTTGCTGTTCACTTCAGTAATAATTAGTAATGATAATTGTAATCATTACTAATTATTATGAATGATAAAACTCATACCATTTTCTACTTTTTTGTATCGTCGCAAACATATAGATTTGAATATATGTTATGTTCATGCCTAAAAAAGTATTTAAACTGTAACAGGTTTTGTTAGTATCTCTAAAACCTCGAATTTACATAAAGCCTGTGATCGAGCTTTTTGCGAGCTTTTGTACAAGATCGCTCCACCGTATTTTTGTTCTATACATATGTATGTATATAAATCCAGCGAAGAAAATAATATCTAAAATACCTATGTTATTTTTTTTATTTTATTTTATTTTATATGAAAGTAATAGTATATTATTCTTACTTTTGTGGAATATTTTCTTGAAACAAATTAAGGAAACTGTCAACACTTTGAGCGAGAGTTAGCCTTAATTTGATAGTAAATAATTCATGACTGTTTTTTACCATTTGTTCTCCGACTTAATGAGAATTTTTTCGACGACGACACTAAAATACTAATAACATATACATGGATAAATTTAATTTAAATTTCTATATCAGTTATATATATATATATATATATATATTTATATTCACTTTTTCTATGGTACTCAAAGAAGCCCTGAAACTTTTGAAATGCAAAGATAAATAAAAACTATATTTGCTCTTTAATTTAAAAATCTCTCTTGCAAGAAATTTTAAACTATGTTATTTATTTATTACTTACAAAGCTCTTCTTTTTTACTAAATATTGTAGTTTTGCCTGAATATAATACATTATAACATAATAGGTTAAGAGTAATATAGTTGCCATGAATATATTAAGTTTTCGAAATGTGATCAGATATTGCTTTGTGATCTCTGGAGTATTATGTTCCTGAACCCTGAAGTTTCCAAATTGTGTATGACTTGTGTTATGATTTAGAGCAATATATGCAATAAAGCCTCAAGTGTACATAAAGGGCAAAATATATTATATGCTTCTATCTTTCCTTGTAATCATACTATCGATTTCCTCAACAAGTTTAGCTTTCGATTTTGTAAAAAGCATTTGCGGTATCTAATTAATCTCAACACTCTGCACTAATGTCACCAAAGTCATTAATTAAATGAAAATAATTTATTTCAAAATGTCAGAAAAACGCAAGTTTCAATAAATCATTAGATAATAAGAGTTCTTACAATTTATGCGTTCAATTAAAAAAAGTAATTTAGCAAGTCTCAAATGCGAAGGAAAATTAAAAAGAAATTGCTTAACAAAAACCTTCAAAGGGATTAACGACGCTGATAAAGTGAGTGCAATTACGTATACTCAAGACGTGATCATATCATTTAATTTGAAACGGTTTTTGATGAATTTTAAATGTGATAATTTAATACCACTCATGTGTAATTCAATATTTATGATATAGGTTCTGAAAAAGAAGATGTTTTTATATAAAATTTGCATTTCTATTTATTATTTCTCTAGACATACGCTATGGACAAAAGTTTCTTAAATTGCAAAAAAATCTGCAGGAATCAAATTCACGGTTTGTTTGTTTCTATCCACTCATATTAACCAGATATTAATATAACAATAGTTTAAAATGCGAACGTGACATAAACTGGCTCTGGTACGAAATTAAGCAATGATTTATGAGATATTCAATCAATCGTTATCCAAACACAATTTGTTTGACTAGTAGTTATGAATAATGAGCAAAAATTGAAATATAACAGTCTTTTGAATTATTTTAGAACTCTTTACCTTTACGTACACCATTTCGTATTGGGATAGGTATAATATATATTCATATATGTTATGTACTACTAGTTACTACTTTGACTATTATTTTACAATATTCTCATATCTAATATATAAAATTGTTTTCTACGAGTGTATGATTTGATACTTCTCCTAAACGGTTATTCGGATTTTGATAATTCTTTTTAGAGTTTGTCAAAGAAAATTTCTAAGATTTATTGAGCAATAAAACTAAAGTAATATTGTAGAAATAAATGACAAAAAATATTAAAAATCAATTATCATTGTTTGACATTAAAAACATTTGAACTGTCATCCGTTAGAATAAGTATATGTTTGGTAGATAAAATTATATAATTCAGTTTAATAAATAACGCAATAAGTCCGAAAATGCATATACATTATTTTTTTAAACTAAGCTTGTCGCATTTTAGTTTACTTTACTAAATTATTTAACAATACAAAAAAATATTTTTACGTACTAACAAATGATTTAGAATTTTGTTTCATGTGTCAAAAATTCATTTGTTTGGCATTGGATATGGAATATTTAGCAAGTTGATCATAGATTGAAGAGTGCTAAAATGAACTAGATTTTACAGATTAATTCATCTAAGATTTGAACATAAACAATAATGTTTATTAAATTATTAGTAAAAAAATGTACTTTAAAAATTATAATTGCCAAAAAGCAATTGCAAATATATCGTACGAGATTATGAAAATTATAGACTAAATTATTGAAGCAATTATGTTGTGTGGTGAAATCAAGTGTGATATTGTTTTTTTACTGCATATACTATTTTATTTCTGAATTTCTTATTCTGTTTATGCTAAAACTATAAATGAATTACAGAAGCAGGACTTAAATAAGATATTAAAAAGCATAGGACAGGATAATGAAAACTTTGGAATTTTTGAATTGTAGACGTGGGTACAGGACAACGTCTGTCGGTTCATCTAGTATATATATATATACATATATATATAGATATATATATATATATATACATATAGTTGCATAAAATCGTTTTCACTGTATTTTATTTTGTAGAAAGTCTGTTGAGTACTTAGTGTGTAATGTTAAGAATGTACTGCATTTCTATTCTCAGAATGTGCTAGAGAGGGTTCGAATTAAGATGTTCCATGTACTGCTGGCACTAAACATAAAATTTGAACTTTTATATGAGAAACACAGTCCAGATAATATTACTAATGTTCCACATGCCATCTACCACTTATTACTTATTCGACTACGCATCATAATTTGATAGGTATAGTTGTATTATATATATTAATATCCAAGATGTATAAAATCATTATTTTTAGTGTTATGTTCAAGTAATGGTTAATGAGGATGAAAAATACCAAATATCTGAAACAACTTATTAAAAATATAGAAATTTTGCGTTTCATAGACAATAATATTTGATTAACCATAATAATCAATTTATTCATTTGTAGGTATTGTGTATTCTCAAAACAAATGTTTGCAATTGTGTATCTCATCCAGTGTTTATTATTAAATCCTCATTTGTCGTGATTGTCCTTTGGCTCGCACGTGTCGTAGGTTTCAGTATTAATTTGAAATATCCTTCATTGTTGTGAACAACTGCAGACTGGCTTATTGAACTATTGCAATATATTCCGAATGTTGTGCGTATTCCGAATGGACACGTGCGCTATACTGGGTCAAAACAGTATCAATCCAAAAAGGACTGACCGATTTCCATTAATACACCAAAGTAATTAACTTGACAATCATATATTGGAACATTTCATGAATTTAAATTATGAAGAGGAAGTATTGACTTGTAGTAGGTGGCAACTGGATCTGGACTATACTTCTAATATGGAAGTTTCAAATATATATATGAAAAGAGCGAATGCAATGTCTGAATTAATTTGTTCTCTAGCCAATACCATTAGACAACTCAAGATTTTAACAAAGTGTTTCTGAGAAGCAAAATGCAATGCTCCCATAACGTTACACATATTTTATATAGATTAGAATCCAATTAAAACGATCTTATCAACTTATGTATATATATATATATATATATATATATATATATATATTTATATATATTCATACATAGTGTTCTAGAACCCCACGTCAATCAGAAACGTGGTGATAGTAATGACCCTAACTGTCCTGGAAAAATAGGAAAAAAATCACGTTTTTTACTCGAAATTTTTCATGATGAATATATCTAATATTTAACCATTTTACAACCCTACATTGATGCTTTAACTTTTGTTGGAACTTGACAAAATACTTTAGTGAAAAAATTTAAAGGCGATCATATTAAAGTCGAAAAATTTTGAAAATTTAAGTATGACAAAAGTCTTAAATCTTAAAAACTTTGGGCAATAGCGTCATTATTTTTAACTGTAATACTAGTAATTCTGTTTATGCTGATAAAGTAATAAAAATTAATCACAATAATCGAATAATGGTCACACTTTTACTGAAGCGACAGGGTGCATTCGAAATCTCATAATTTCCAAACAACGTGATATTTGTTTCATTTTTTATTCAGAGTAGTTACAGTCAAAACCCTTTAGTCAATATATATATATATATATATATATATATATTTATATTTATTTATTTATATATATTAGGGTGGTCCTTAATATGGACATTTTCGAATTTTCTTGCTCCCAAGGGTTCAAATGGTTTCAAAGTGATAAAATTAATATTGTCTTTTAGATAGAGCGCAATTCAATCAAAGTTTTGTAAGGAAATAGCATGAAAAAATTTTCAAAAATTTTGCAGAGCGCCGAACTTTCAATAAAAAATGACACGAATTTTCACTTTTAATTTATTTGTCGCTAAGTTATATATAAAAAATTTGTTTTTTAAATTTCAAAATTTTTTCATACGAAGTTTTATTGAATTGCGCACTATCTAAAAGTTAATATTACGAGCTAAAATTGTCAGAGAATTGTTTTTTAACAATTTGGAACCATTTGAGCCCTTGGGAGCAAGAAAATTCAAAAATGTCCATATTAAGAACCACCCTATATATATATATATATATATATATATATATATATATTTACAGCCTTAATTCGATTTACATTTGATACTTGTCTAAATGACGAACGTAAAGGTCAACGTCCTAATTTTATTATGATTTCTACTATATACTTTTTTATTATACAATGTAGAGAATCTATTATACGAGTATATATTGTTTTCAATAAATATATTCTCGCCTTAAGCTCCTAAGCGAAAATTTATATCATAACTGTATACCGTGCACACATAGTACATATTTATAAATTTTCTCGTGTGAGATTTATGAAAATAAATATAAACCAAAGCGTAAAATTTGAATGAAAAAATAGTATATGTGATTGGAAAAATATGTTGTACGAGGTGCGCAAAAAATTAGGTAAAAGTTTCAAGCTTCGCGGAATTTTAACGAATTTGAGTATTGATTTTTTCTTGTTATTGGTGCGCATTTCCAAAATTTATATAAAGATAAGCAGATTCCGATTTACATGATTTTTTTATACTTTTAGGAAGGACTTTATGACATTCCAGTTGTACTAGTTGGTAACAAAAATGATCAATGGGGCGACAGAATGGTGACACTTGAAGATGGACAACGGCGAAGTAAAGAAATTGGCTGTGTCTGCTTTCATGAGATTTCTGTCAGAGAAAGTATAGAACAGGTAATTCATAAATATTTATAAACATTTATTTTTTATTGCCAATTTTCAATATTTTTTATTATCTCTTTTATTTACAACTGTCCAGCAAAGGACATTCAATAAATTTGTTGAATTTACAATAGTCGGCCGAAAAGGGACAATGTATACTACAAGGGCATGTTGGAAGAAACAACTCAGTAGTTGTGTTTCCATTCGATATAAAATAAACAATATTTTATTGATAATTATATAATTCTAACTATTTACTTATTACATAATTTCTTATAAATAATGATTAAGCTATTTTCATTTTTATCCAGAGAGTTAATGGCTTAAATCCAGTGGCGCTTTTCTTTTCAATCTTCTTGGATAGTTCTCTGTTATCAATATTAATGACTCTTTTGTTATTTGGAAGTCCTTTAAATCATTTTATAAAAGTTGAAAAATTAAATTAGATTTGAGTCCCTAGGTTCAAATATTTACTTTCGTGTAATTTGTTAATTTGAGGCATAATCCATAATCAATGGTTTACGGTATTATGCCTTTATTTATTTGTATCTTTAAAGCTCGTAGTTAGAATCGTCTCTTACAAGAAGCTCTCAATATGGTGACCTAAAATCGATAAATTACCAAAATTACCAAATTTGGTGTACAAAAACCCATGTATTCTTTAAGTATATATACCAAGTGTGCGCTCTTGTTGTTGTGCTAGTTCATTATTTGCATATTTTTGCAAAACATTGAAAACTTTAACATTGATAATTAATATCATTTGATGCAAAAAATACTGTTACAGTTTTAAAGGTCATTTTAATCAAACTTTATTGTTTTCGTATTATTCTAGTGTAAATTGAATTCTAAACCTACGCGCATTTCTCGCGGGTCATGTGATACATAGACGAGTTATATTCGGTTTAGAACATTATTTTGATGGTGTAAATTATTTGTTCTATACTGTTTGTTTAAATTATTCTGATTTAATGAGTAATGAATAGTAAAATGTTTTATACAGATAATTTATTGCGCATTCGTTACGTATGATCCAAACGTACGTAACCAATTAGTCATATCAATATTAAAATAAACAAGTTCTTATTTTAGCAAGCACTAAATCTATTTACTTTTATTTTATCAAATATTTTCACTTTATTCAAACCTTAGGATTAATCATATTTATATTATTAGTCAACTAAAACGGGATTCCAACATGTATTATATTTTTCATGTATCACCATAGTAGGAATGCCATGTAATTAATTTCAGTATTAATGTTACTTTTAATTTAAAATTCAATTTAAGCGCCGGTAAAAAGCTATTTGCAGTTATAAAGTATATTTTCACATTTAAAGCTTGCAAAAGAATTTTATATAAACTAATCGGAAAATAAATTGACTATGAAATGAAGTGAACTCTATAAAATTATAAAATGAAATTGTTCTAGAAGGCTAACTAAAGAAACATGAAAATCATAAAAATAACGAACATAATGACACACTTTATAATTTATTAAAGTTTGATATTAAAATTTAATGATAATAGAAAATTTAGAAAGATAATTTTCCAAACGGCAATATAGCTTATAAAAATTAATTGTTACATTTGCGTGACAAAAGCTTTGATTATTGCATGAGAATATTATTATTTATTCTATTTTATAAGAATTTTTAAAAAATTTTAATTTTTCACAATAATTTACAATTGTTTTTTAAGATTTTAAATATTAAACAAAACCTACAATTTTAACAAAAATTGTATCAGTAACTTGAAAATAAAACTAGTGGTGAGTGGCATCGTGCCTTAAGGCAAATTGCTGGAACTTTCCGTACCCTAACAAAATGTTCGAGCAATATTAAATATTTTCAAATAAATATTATACTGTAACATTGTATAATATTTATAAGATTTATATATTAATTGCAAAGTTAAAATTATTTATTTAAAGTATATAAGTGAGCTTTACATCTTTAACCAGAATTAAAATTAAAATCTGAATTATTTTCGATATACAATTTTTTTTTTCTTACAAATTAAGACCTTAAGTGATACTGCTCTGTGTAAATTCATATTTCTGAGGTAATTTCAAAAGATGTTTAACAAGCCCGCCAAAGTACGTAATTTCTTATCAAAGCAATTTATTGAATGTTTATGAGTAAGATATTTACTTTCTTCAAATATGAATTAATTAATTTCAGATTATATCTAAGAAGCTTAATCAAAATCATAAACACGTTGATCCTTGATGTGCCTCATTCAAAGGTATAACAAAGATAAATACACACCGACTGACTAATAAGCAAATATATTTGAGAAGCATTTGAGATGTAGAAAAGTATAGAATTAAATTCAATTGAAATATTCTCAAATTGGAAAAAATTGCTTTGGTTGAAAATTATTAACAGGACGAATGATTTTCTTAATATTGAACCAATACTCTCATATCTCTTCGAAGTTTATTTACTTGGTGTCCCAGACCTTAAACTAAAGCCAAAACAAGGAGATAGTATTGACTTTTCAACTACCCCAAAAAAATTAGAAAAAAATATATATTGCGTTAAATCGAAATAATGAGCTTTTAAGGTCAACCTAGAGCTTTAGTGAAATTATGACCATTTTTTTGTGGTTTTTTGTTATTGTGGTTAATTTTGTTATTTTAAACTTTGCAATCATAACCGTAAATAACAATTCTTTAGATCACAGTGAAAAATAATAACACAATTGCTTTTTTTTTTTAAAAGTTAAGACTTTTTTAAAATATTAAATCGGTTGACTTTGAGAATCCCTTTTTTAAAAAATGTACTAAAGTATGTTGGCAAGCTTCAAGAAAAGTAGACTCAGGGTTGTAAAATGGTAGAATACTTGATAATTTTATTATTGCAAAATTTCGAGTAAAAAAATAAAAGCCTAAAATTAACATATTTACTAACAAACACTATAGTTGTGAATTCTGCTTAGTATAAAATTTACAACTAAAATCTACCAAACGCAGAAGCATACAAACTTTCAACATTTGGACCAATCTATATATTTTTTTTTATTTTTTTAGTAAGATAACTAAGGTGAACTTAATTGCTTTATATCTTTATTCATATTAGCTTGTATTCTTTCTTTCATTAATTATTATCAATTGAGCTCGTAATTTTTACCTTTCCGTGTATGTATGTATGGATACAATTTTTCGTTCAAAAAATATTTGATGCTTGTTAATAGGGAGATGTGCTGATTTGTTTTTGACGAAGGCAGGTTTAGCCATTTTGGAGATACCGAGCATAAAGTGCAGAAAATAGAAATCGAGTTTTTGAGAAAGCGGAGCATCTGATTCGAATGATCCAAAAACATTCAATTTTTAATGACGGGGAAAAGTGGTGATTAGCTTTTGGCAAAACCAGGTCTAGCCGTTTTGGAGATACCAAGCTAAATGTTAAAAAATTGCAGTTTTTGAGAGAACTAAGTATGCGATTTGAATGATTCAATAAACTTTCTGCTTGTATTGACTAAATAATTGCTATTGGAAATTTTTGGGAATGATTGCTTTTTGGAAATTTTTATTTGAATATCGAAAATAATTCGAATTTTAGTTTTAATTCTAGCTAAAATTTCGAAGCTCACTTATATACTTCAAATAAATAATTTTAACTTTGCTATTCCGTTTATATAATTCTTGTAAATATCAGACAATATCCTTCATTTTAAATTTGTTTGAAAAAGAATTGCTTATTTACTTTTCTGTAATGGTATATAAGTTACAGTATTTATAATAATCTATTGGAAAACATTTAATATTCTTCAAATATTTTATTATGGTACGGGAAGTATTTATAATGCGGGAAGTTCCAGCATTTTGCCTTAAGGTACGATGTCATACACCACTAGTTATGATATAATGCTATAATATAATATAGCTATCATATTCTCTTGGCGATTACAGCTTCAAGTACTCATTTTATGTATTCCCAGAGCACTTGTCTATCAATTTTACCATCTTGGGTATATATAAAAATTAATCAAAACAAAACAAACTCAATAAGCAATCGAAACGAAATAGAATTGGGGATAGAAAACTCATTTGTGGATAATACACTGATCATGTCAAGAGTTACCGATGAGTTATACCGCAAACATAACCGGGCCGTCCGTCCTTCAATAATATTTATTCCCAGATGATCGAGTTTTTTCGAAGATTGAATGAGATTACTTCGATGATTTCCAATTTCATCTAAGTGAGTTATGGAATATTTTTTTACCAATCGGGAATATAGAAAACGTACTTATATGTTTCTTTAAAAAGTTGAGAGTTCAGCATTGAAATGCGTATTGGCAGTAGAATAAATGTTTCCATCCATATAAATGAACTTGAATTCAAAATGAAATTTAACTTGTAAATCAATTAATCTTTTAAAATAATAAAAAATAGCAATTGATGTAGAATGAATTTATTTATATCAGGAGGTATGTTAGTTTTGCCAAATTCAAACAAAATAATTATTTTATAATTATTCATAATTAAAAATAAAATTTCGAAGGCATTCATGATAGAAAACAAACATTTGTCTCTTTTATCATGCAATAGGTATATGATCAGTTTTTTATCTGTCTTTTTCTAAAATTATTACAAGTTTTACAAGCTGTATATTTTTTTAAAAATCAAATCAAAATAACTTTTTGATATTTTAAAATATGCCACTTACATCTAATGCCTTGCCAAGAGGACATATTAATAAGAATAAATAAACATATTTTTTGCAGTTTATATTGCATATGAATACGTAAAATTTAGTGAATGTAATAGGCAGAATAAACATAATTTTTTGAAATTTCATTTCATATGCATATATAGAGTTGTTATTTGAATTTTCTTTTATTTCAAATTAATTATAAAGTGAGTGTATCTAGTTATGAACGAAAAATTATTTTTTATTTTGTTAGGTAGTAGCCTAAAGAGTAAAGAGCCTAAAAATACGATTATTCAAAAATTAATTGTAATTGATATTATTTAAATTATAACACGATTTTCCACATATGTGTCTTAATAATTGATGGAGCATCTAGAAATTCAAAAAGTTTAAACATCATAAATATAATCTAGATATTTTATTATATTTATGATTAATTTTCATTTAATGTTTGGATGAATTAATTTTTTTGTCAACAAAATGCTGAACTTGTTTGTGTAATATATATAAAATCGTCTAGCAATATAGTGCAAAAAATATATTTTAGTAAACATTTCTATTGTTGTTATATTTATTTAGAATTAATTTGTTATTACTTATAATTTATTATGAACTTTCATGAGCTTTTTAAATTGGATGAATTAATTTTTTGTCAACAAATCTCTGCAATACAGTGCAAAAAAATATATTTTTGTAGACTTATATTTTTGTTATATTTATTTATAATTAATTTATTATTTCTTAAAATCTATTATGAAGCTTTATGAGCTTTTAAAATTAGATAAATTATTTTTTTGTCAACAAATCTCTGAAATTGTTTGTATAACTATATGTGAAATCATCTAGCATTATAGTACAAAAAATATATTTTTGTAGGCATTTTTATTTTTGTTATATTTATTTATAATTAATTTATTGTTTCTTATAATTTATAATGGAGCTTTATGAGCTTTTTAAATGTGAAAATTCGTAGCGCAATCTGTTGACTAGGGCGTATTGTCTGATGGTGCGTTTTGCTACTAGCAAAAATAAGCAACTGCAATAATATAAAAATCTTTAAAAACTATATTACTGGTTGAATTTAAAGGATATTCATTGATTTTGAATAAACCGCGAAACAAAAATAATTGTTTTTACTTTTTAAAATTCTCCGATTTACATAATTTAAACTATTTCCTCTGTGAGCTGAGTAGAAATGAAATAGTTAATTATCCAAATTATTTATATTTTATAAATTATTATATTTATTTGCGTATCTATAAGAAAATTAAAACATAGGTACAAGTTGCAAACATATAATATTTCCCATTTTTTAAAAGCTTATACAAAGTTAGCCATTGATAGAATTAGTACTAAATTTGGATCGCAAAACGTCTCTTGGTCCAATAATGATAATAAATTGTCGAAAAAATAATTATATAAATAACAATTGTAGAAATCAAGCAAAAATAACTTTTAATATTATTTTTAATCAAGAATTCTAAATATTATTATATTAAACCAAGTGTAAGAATTATTTAATAACATTTCATTAATAACCTGAGTAAATTTGATTGACGTTGTCTTGCAGAATATTCCTCACCTCATCTGTCGCAAATCAGTCTTTTTCTTTTCTATTGAAAAATTGAATACCGAAAATAGTAGGTACATATTATATGATTTAGGTTTTTCATACTTATAAAATAAAAACTAGGAAACCAAAACCATTGAAAGTATCATTCCATTTAGTTTTTTTGATATTCAAGACAAACATTATATCAAAATCTAGTGTAACGATATAAAAAACCATTTCATATTACAAAAATCATGTAATATGAAAAATACAATTATTATAAATAAACTTCCTAGATAGTTGGCTAAAAATACTCATGATTTTACAACTACCAAATCCGACAAACACCTTGCTGTAATTATTGTCGAATCAAATATATTTAAATAACTGGTCGGTATTGGTATTTTGTCTTGAGGCAAATTACATGAACTTCCCGATATAGGGCTTACAATACCGGGATTCCGTAATCCCGAAAACCGGGATCCCGGATGATTTTTGTCCGGTATTCAATACCGGTATTGATGCAAATAATACCGGTATTACGGTATCACCAGTATTCTATCAAAAATTCAACTTACGCAAAATACATATCAAGTTTTAGTTTCCAAACTATGTATTGTGTGCTTGACTCAGCTGAATGAGATAAGCGACAAGCGGTGTCGGCAAGATAAAGCGATTGTTTATATATTATGTGTGACGGCCAGCTAATAAAAGGGTTCATTTACAAAAGTTATTATGCGTTTACGTGCCTCGTTCCTACTTCGAATTCACTATCAATAATTTTTAAACATAATATACAATCGATGAGATATTTATTTATTATACATAAATCATTTTACATAAGTAAGAACGGCAGTTGTTTAAATTGCGTGTCACTGACAACAATTTGAGAATTTGCGAAGGGTATTGTTATAATTAGTTAATATTAATAACTAATATAGTAGAAACACACCACGTAATGAATCATATTCTCAATTCTATTGCATTCAACATAAGAATAGTCAACATTGTAATAATCTTTTATCGATGAATTGCACACATCGCAGTAATTCCCGAGAAATCCGAACGGGTAATAACTTGACTTGCACTCACACATATAAAAAAACTCTATTGATCATATTCAAAATCAAGGGAATTCCCTTAAACTAAATAAAATGTTATATGAAGCCGAAATGTAACTTTAAGTAGGCAGTTGTGTAAATTTCGTGTAGATAACATCTTAAAGTTGCGGGAAAATAAATGTTTATATGAAGAATAGTGTGTTTAATATTGTGTAAATATTGTGTTTAATTTGAACCTATGATATTTATAAGTGAGTATATAAACCAAAGTTAATTAAGTTGGTGTGTAATTAAAAAATATTAAAATAAATACTTCACCCGTGTGTGTGTTAAAAAAAACTCCAAGTCTAGAACAAAAAATAAAAGATGAAATTACTTTTTTTGAAAAAACAGGAATAAAAAGAACGAACCTACAAAATATGTATAATTTCTTAATTACAATTGTACCAACAAGTGTAGAATCGGAAAGACGGAAAGAGCTTGGTGATCAAACAATTGATTGTTTATGTTTCTTAAGATCATATTTTATTAAGCAAAACATTAGCCATGAATTATAATTTATTCTTTTCTTAAATATATTAATAAATAATTAATTCTTATTATAAATGTAGAATGTAAAATGTAACATAGAAAAATATATATTTTTTACTGACACGTTTTTTTGTTTCTATCTACTTCTACTCCTTATGTAATAAATAAATAATATGTACTCATTTCAGCACAATATTTGTTAGATTTCATATATTATTTGTTAATATGTCAATATAACAACTGAAGTAAGTAAAAATATGACTATTTAATTTTTCATCGACAATACCGGTATTAAAACCGGGATCCCGGAATTTCATTTTTCAAATATCGAATACCGGTATTCAGATTTTTGTACGGTATTGGAAGCCCTATCCCGATATGTGTAAATAATCGACTTAATCCGTAATAAATAAATTAATTTGTGAGTGGTTAAAAGTATTCGAAGAGGATTTATTACACATTATTGAAAATTGAACACGTTAACTGGGTCGGAGTAGTTTCTAAAAGCAAATTTTCACAAATCAATAATTTTTGTAATTGAACCAGTTTAAGTAGGACTTTAATGGTTTAGTATGTCTATTAAGATCAAGTACTCTATCGTTATATCAAGTAAATCGTGAAATTTTACTTCACTTTTTCCAAATTTGGTCTCATTCGATTCAGAATGGCTTGAAAAGTCGATAAAATATAAAATTAACGAATCGAATTTTCTGATGAAAACCAAAATTTCTCCTTAGGAAAGTTAAAAATATATTTTATGGTATAATATTGTGATTTTTTTCAGGTTTGGTCAGTATTTCGTGATGTATGCAGATTTTGGCGTGTACATAGTCGCTGCCATAAATTAAAAAGGTCCACAAGTGATGTTCATACAGAACCCTTAATTAGTCCCGAGCTTTTAAATTATTTTGGATCGAACAGGACATCCCTCACATCTGTTGCTAGTGAAAATGGAAAATCTATAGTTTTACTAGGTAGGTAAGCTGTGGACTCTCCAAAATCCACTGGATAGTAGTTACCTTGAAATTGAATTTTTTTTTAAAATACAAAATGTACTAGGTACACAGAATAGTGCAAAAATTACTTAAAAAAATTTCTTAGCTTAATTCAAAAAATACAAAATGTACTAAGTACACAGAGATACAGCAAATACTATTCAAAACTATATTTATCAAAATATTATAATATTCACTTCTATTCAATTATATTTTAAAAAAATATTTCTTTTTCTCTCAGGTCATTCATGGAACGAAGTAGATATCGATGAAGCCCAAGAAGACGGAGGTTCTGAAGATACTTTATCGACACCTTCAGAGTCCGAAGTAACCCCTTTCCGGGGGCGCGCCTCCACAGACGGTCACCTTCTGTCGAGGCCCCGAAGATGGAGGTACCCGCCGCCCGTTAGTCAGGCTGCACATTGTCGCGCCGACAGGAGGATGTCTATATCCATGAGAGGAAATAACGCTAGCTGTTAAAGTAATTTATTTTATTTATTTATTTTAAATTGAAATAATATTTATTTATCTCTATCAAGGAACATATAAATTATTTAGAAGGATTGGCCAAGTTAGGGTAAAGTTGCTAAAGTACCACTGCCTGAGTTGTAGTCTGGCTATATTTTGACTAATATTTATGATTGCTCAGACAAAATTATTTTGCACGTCTTAAGCAACCTTAGCCACAGGTAAGAGCATGTATGTAGTTTTTACACACATTATATGCTAAAAAACCATATGATTATTTATATGTTTTTTTCTGATTACCCTTTTTTCTGTGATTATTACGAATCTGGGGCGTGACATAAAAATATTTTAATAAAATAGTAATTGGGTATATACGTGTAATTTATGAAAAAATCAGTGTCAATATCTGTGTGATTGTTTCTAAATGTAACATAAAAAAGCTGAAACCAAACTCTAATAAGAGCCGTGTATTAGGGGGAAGACCCCGAGTGACGGACACCTAAGGTTATTTATAAATAAATCAAAAAATATTTTACGAAACGTTTATTAAAATATGACTTATGTTAGATAACAAAGTTAGAAATCAAACTAAATTAACAAAAACGCAACCTTTGCTAAAAAATAATTAATTCTATCAATCAAACTTTGGTAACAAGAAATATGATTTTACAAAGTGGCACCTAATACCGGACAATTCTTCAGCATTGAACACATATGTAGCCATCTCCACACTCTGGAATATCTGCACATGTGTGTTTGACGAATATTCTTAGATGTTGCGAAAAAATCACTATTTATCCACCCTTTTGGCTGGGCCACACCGATGCTCTCAGCTGGAGCGTTCATCATAAGCTTTTCATTCTTTGACTAGGAAATACGAAAAACGTAGGTATGTAGTGTAGAACAAAATTAAATAATTAAAATAAATTACGTCAACTCTCACAAGAAATATCAATATGTTTACTGTCCGGCGCTAAGAGACGACTTAGTGTCCGGTGTTAAGGGACAGACATGTTCGTTCATTTGGTGGCGCCTACAATCATGTACTACTTTTATCATTGAATGCCACTCAAATATAAAGGCATAAATAAACTAGAATTACTTCTATTGATATTTAGGTGACACCGTGATTTTGCGCCTGTGTGCGTCACAGGTGAGTCTTGGCGGGTAATCCTGTTGCTGTGTGCCCCCGGCGCCCCTTTCACTTGTATTTTGATATAAAAAGATTTATACTCGCTCAAATAATACGTTTTAGATAGAGTGTCCGGTATTAGGTGCTGTTCGGCGTTACGAGACTTTCCCCTATGTTTGTTTCCATTGTTTCAAAATTCGAGATTTTTCCATATGAAATGCAAATTTAAGTATACTTCAAATTAATATAAGTAACAAATGAATTTTTATCTGAACATAAGCCATTCGATGAGGTTGTCATTTTGTAAAATATTTGATATAAGATTTGACAATATTTGTTATAGCTTTTTGATTGTGTGCTTTGGTAAAAGTTTTTGTAAAACTAATCATGGTAGATGAAAGAAAGATTATTATTAATATTAGATTTTGAAAGAAATAAATATAATAAAAAAAAACAGATTGGTTCATTAATATTGCGAAGGATGACTTTTTTGTAGAAAGCACAATTATTTCAGAGAATAATTGCTAAAAACATTTTTTTTATCTATGATGAGTTTTACTTATATAAATTAGTGAATATTCTGATCTACATCATAATATTTATACTACATTTGTAGCTCCCATATAATATTAATCGCTTGGAAATAGGAAATAATTTTTTTCTGCTCATATTGAGTCATTTACCAAGCATGTTGAAATATATTATTATTTTTTGAGAATTTTTACATAGCTTTTTCGTAAAATTTATCTGTATTGTTTGATAAAAAACCAAGCTAGTGTACAATTTCTTTATGAGTTCGTTTGTTTCTCTATTAGTAGAACTTTGTCGCTCGAACGAAATTTTTCAAATAATTTCAGAATTTTTTTTCGAAAAAATTGTTTGATATTTTACGTATCCATTATTCACTTTATTTAACAAATGACCTTAATTAGTTTTATCGATATAAAAAATTTCATAACTTAATAAACCTTCAAACATCGGTTATGTAGTCGATACGCAACAAGTCTTGTCGACAAGGTAATTGGATTATCTTATTATTCAATTAGGTTTCGTTTTTTCTAATAATAGTAAAAAATTTAATAGAATCTCAAAATAAAAATATATACCGACCTTTTGATCAATTTTGCGCAGAAGAATTATTGTCTCTATAGTATGATATAGATCAAATATATTCACAAGCGCTCAGAATAGTATAATTTATATTAGGGTGGTCTTCAAAATGGTCATTTTCGAATTTTCTTGCTCCCAAGGGCTCAAATAGTTCCAAATTGATAAAAAACAATTGTCTGAAAGTTTTAGCTTTTAATATTAACTTTTAGATAGTGCGTAATTTAATCAATCTTTGTATGGAAATAGCATGGAAAAAATTTTGAACTTAGCGACAAATTGTGAATAAAACTCATTCATTTGTTCACTAAATTATATCTAAAAACATTTTTAAAATTTCCGAAAAAAATTTCATGCTATTTTCATACAAATCCTTGATTGAATTGTGCACCATCTTAAAAGCAATGTTAAGAGCTAAAACTTTGAGAGAATTGTTTTTTATCAATTTGGAACCATTTGAGCCCTTGGGAGCAAGGAAATTCGAAAATGTCCATATTAAGGACTACCATAATATATATATGGTATATATGTATATATATATATATATATATATATATATATTAATGTAAAAATTGGCTAAAAAATTAATAACTTTACTATATGAATTTTTTCATAATATTTGATAGTTATTGCTGACAAATAAATGTATATAACTATAATAAATTAATTTTATGTAAAGCTCAAAATATAAGTAATTGAGTAATATTTTATCTTTTGAAATGTTGTGTACTAAATTTCTTAAAAATATTTTATATGATTATAATTTTTTTATGATAATTTGCTACATATTTTCTCAAGTCATCGGTTGAAGATTTTTTAAATATATTCTTATCAATGATTAAATATATATTCAAATTGAAAGTAGAAGTAAAAGAGCGATTGGCACAGTTTTTTTGAAGGTTGATTAAATATTTATATTTAAATAAATTTAATTCGATGTTATTTATCAAAATAAATTAATTTAATTTATTTCTTTGTGTCATGTATTTATTTTTCTTGTATCGCATTTAATGCTTATTGACTGATACAAAGTATTACATAATTATATAGAGACGATCGAAAATTGCATTTATTGTTGAACTATAATTAGCAAAATTTATCATATGTTATAAAACTAGGTTTCTAATATATCTAGTTATAAGATATTTGTAGGTGAAATTAATACTATAATGCTTGTGGTATTATCGAGCTGATATATGTTTTAAAATAATCCTATTATATAGGAATAGTGTATTAAACGTAATGTTTGACCTGCTTACAAAATGCATTTTGGGTGAATGTAAAGCTCTCAACTATTTTTACAGAAGACGAAATAAACCGATTTAGAATATACCTATTTGATTCAAGATAGATAATTTTTATTCATGGTACACTGCCACAAAAATGCATCGATTCAAACAATAATCAAATAATATTTTTCTATAAATTTTATGAGGAGTTGAGAGCTTTATCTGCAAATGACAAACCTCATTTTGTGATAAATATTCGGTATCAAATATTCCAAATGTTTTAGCCTAAGTTATTTTTAAAAATCGCTTGTGATTGTAGCCTCAGATAAAAAATATATAATTAATGTAGTCAATTTAATTATAAGTTGTTTGTTTTGAATTATATTCTATGAAGTCTCAATGGTACTTAATATTTAATGCTATCAAGTTTTGAAAAAAATATCATAAAGAAGAATTCTTTAACTTATCAATATAATTAAGGATAAGGTTAATAGTATTTATTATATTATATGCATATAAATGTGAATGAAGTTTATTGAATTTTTCAAAAATTCATAAAATAAAATCAAAGAAAAACGAAATAATATCTATGTGTTCGTTCAATATATTGTGAAGATACATGTGATAAATTATCAAGTGTTTCATGTAAATAAATATACAGAAAAATTTATTTGGTAGTATTATTCAAACCTTTTAGTAATTTTAATCGTGGCTTTTATTTACAGTATTTTCTTTTTATTCAATTTCATCATCTCATTAAGGATCTAGACAAAAAGGCAGAACCTGAACACTCACTTACAAGTAAGTATGATTATGGACGTGATTAAAAAAATAACGCAAAAAATAAAGTTCAAGTAAAATTACTTCAAAATTAAGTTAAACTAGTTGTAAATAGTAAAAATTAAGTTTCAGCTGTTCAGATAAAATATTCAACTGTTGAAATAAAATAGCAACTTCTGTTAACGATAACGATTTCCAACTGATGTCTTTTAAACAGACTTATAATTTCTGTAGTTGTATAAATTTATAATTTGTTTACTACTTACAAATTTGTTTGTTTAAGAATAGATTGTGATTAGAATCGTTTAAATGAAGCTTGATGTTTTTTTTAACTTTCCATAAGGTAAGTTATAGTAATCGCAAAAAATCGAAAATGAGAATTTTTGCATATCTTTACGTTGCAAAAATTTTTGAACAATTTGGGGCATGCCTTAGAAAATATTGATGAATATGTGTACAATTTTTTGTCTACGATTTTGGGCGCATCAACCAACCGATTTGAATGATTCGAAAAACATTTGGTTCCGACTGATGGGAAGACGTGCTGATTAGTTTTTGGCAAAGACATGTCCAGCCGTTTCGAAGACACAAGGCAAATAGTTCCAAAAATCGTAATTTAGTTTTTGAGGTAACGGAGTGCCCGTTCTGTATAATTCAAAAAACATTTTACTTGCATTAACGAAATGAAGAATTGATTAAATTTTTGAAAAAGCATGTCCCAGAGGTACAGAGAAAAATGTAAAAAAAATGATAAATGACGGTCAAAAATGATCATTTGTAAATTAGTAAAAAGATATTTCTATGTTTTATAAAAAATGCATTAAAAATTATGATTTCAAAATTATAT